TTGCTGCTCTTCTTAGGTATAATACCAAAAAATCTACTTTTTATAATACATATAAGTATAAAAATAAGGCAAGCCCTTCATTGAAAAGACAGAGAGCATATGAGAAAATTAAAAGAAATAAGGTAAAAAAAATTAAAAAGATTAAATTTTGAGGACAAAAATTACGGCCCAAAGTGTGAAAAACCAGATATGTCCTCAGCAGATTTTGAAGAAGCTAAAGCATGTTTTCTATCTTCGCTTCGAAAAACAAGAGGAAATTGAATCCATTGAAGCAAGAACCAAAGAGCAGGCCAACAATTTTGAATGGGTCGAAATTCGAAAACACCTTTTAACAGCTTCACATTTTGGAGAGGTTTGTAAGCGAAATCCAATGACTTGTTGTGCAAATTTCGGCAAATTTAGTTCATAAGCTCCTTACACAACCATTTATCAGGAGCAATGCAGTAGAATGGGGTAAAGTCAATGAGTCTACTGTAAAAAATATTTTGATAAAAAAGCATAAATTGAATATCAAGTCAAGTGGATTATTTATTAGCGGTGAATACCCCTGGTTGGCTGCAACACCTGTTGGTCTTCTGGGAGAAAAAGGACTAATCGAAATTAAGTGCCCTTACTCTGCCAGAGACTCTACAATAATAGATGGAATTAGGCAGAAAAAAATTTAAATATTAAAAATAAACAAAAATAATGAAGTGTCAATAAATACAGGACACAACTGGTATTATCAGATTCAAGGTCAATTAAATGTAGCAAAAAAAGAATATTGTATTCTTTGTATCTGGACTAAAAATGAAATTAAGCTGGAAACAATTACTAGAGACAACGATTTTTGGGTAAACACTATGTTGCCTTACCTTAAAAAATTTTATTTTCACTGCCTTCTTCCCGAAATTGTGGATTTAAGATTTATCCAGAGGTATGTCAATTAGGGAACCCGAATATATCCTTAAAGCAATAGATAACAAAGAAAAAAAGACTTAGAGTTTGAGTTAAACAAATTAAGAATTATTTAATACAATAAAAATATTTCATGAAAATTGTTTGAGTTTTACTCGACAAAAAAATACCCAGTATTGCCTTTTAATTTAAAATATAATACAGTACACTTATCTAAATTAGTCACGTAACCGTCCCTGCCTAAGAAGGTAATGTAAATAATATAAATCTTATGTTCAATTCGAAATTTACAATTTTATATTTTTTATACACAAAAATATTTGTTTGCAAAAAAATTGTTATCTGAAATCAAAAAAATGATAATTACCTACTAGTCAACTCAAATAAAACAAAGTTTAAGAACGAAACATAAAACCTTTAAAGAATTAATTAATTTTTATATAATAAATCATTTATTTTATTTAAATTATCACACTAATAACGCAGTTATTTATTCTGTACTCGGAAATAAACAAAATTTTCAAATAATATAGATGATCCTGCTAATCTACAAAAATTAATTTGTATAAAATAACAGTGCAGCAGCAGCCAAGGAATATTATGTTAGCGTATCACAAACAACTTTTCCAGTGTATGCAAGACAAGAGATAACCAGCAAAACCGGCATTTGAATTGTACACGTGGTGTCGGGGCGTCTTAAACAATTATGTTTTTCAAAGTATTTTTATTTTCTTATCACAAAATATTCACGAAACAAAAAATATAAATATAAAAACATAAAAAACAAAAAACTATTATTTTTAAAATATATACAAATGATAAAATATATTTTATGACATAGGTACGCCAAAAATCAAACAGAAAACAATTTTTTTTTATATTCTTATTATATAGCAGAACATATATACGAAAAAAAAAAAAAAACAAGGTATAAAAAAACCGAAAACTTTAATCTATAATACAGGGTGGGCCATTAGTGCGTGGGTGGATGATTGCGGGTTTATTAAGGTACATTTTTAAAATTTATTTTTGGGGCATAGTGTAGGACCTCTAAGGCTACAACTGAAAAATATTTTCGATGATATTCCAATTGTTCTACAGGGAGATTTATATCAAAGTTGTGTTTTTTTAATAGAAACCCCCTGTATATTATTGCATATTTGGATTCCTCTGTCAATTTTAGTGTGACTTTATGTATCACACATGGCATCTAAAATTAGTCGTAAAGCAGCAATTCCATATTTTTTCAAAAAGTAGATGTCTAGTAGAAATTTAATATCGCAGTTACTATAAAACTTAGAAGGCTGTGTCTCTGCAGTGTTACTAAGCATAAAATGTACTAACATTTGCCAGACGATCAAAGTGAAACCCTTTTTGTGTTTAATGTAATCGCTACGCCAATTTGCAAAATTTCAATCCAAGGTAACTTGATTATTTTAAATGGGACTACTAAATTTTTTCATTTCATAACATGCAGAATTCGATTACCTTTCTAATGATATAACAATATGTTGATATTTATCTTTTACAGATTTCTTTTTATTTAAAAACATCTAATAATTCACAGTATTTCAAAATTACACCTTAATAAACCCGCCATCTTCCACCCACGCACTAATGGCCCACCCTGTATAATATTTTAATTAAATTAATTACTTATTCTACAGGAGGTTGCCACTCCCAACAAGTTGTATTTCTAATGAACTCTTTGTTTAAAAGTACATTATGGCATGTTGCTGTTTCTAACAAATTTCGGTCAGCAGTAGTACTGATTTGCATTTGCGGTTTATATTCTACTCCACCATTTCGGGGAATCCTCGACCGATTTTTATGACCCTGGTCCTATTTAAAAATGTACAAATGTACTAAAATTATGCCTACTTTTGATGAAATGTACTTCTGTACCTTGCTGTCGAAAATGTACTAGAAATAGTACAATTGTTCTAAAACGGCAACACTGCAACAATTGCAACTTACACCGACGATACTGTCATAATGGCCTGTCATCAAGTTCCCGCTGTAGACATGGGTAACGCACTAAAATTCTTTGCGTTGATACACTAACTCCGGCGCACTCTATTGCGCCAACTCATTGCGTTAACGCAATTGCGTTATTGCGTCACACCACTGCCTGCGCCGAATGAAGTCGATGCACCTCGGTGTATCGCATGTCGCGTGATACCGCTGTTATTCAGCGCGGGCTGTCCTTTTATAAGGGTCAAACCGTGTTCAAGGCAATAACGCAATTGGGAATTTAACTAAATTATATGTTTAAAAATAAACGAAAATATAACAGTGTAATGCACCCATTTTTTATTTCATTGTGTTCGGATTTTACAAAGAATACAAAAATTTCAATTTATATAAAAAGGATATAATTTTTGTATACTATTAGTAGCCAATCAAAATGGGAAGAACTAAAAACTGACAGTGTACCTACAAGGTTAAAATCCATAAAATTCGACCTACAATCCTACAAAAATGATGTGACATGTTGCAAAGAACATAATTACTTGATAGATTTTGGGTAATCTGCATTACGAGTTGCATCAATTACGTAAATTAAAATTCTCAACTCGTCACGGAAAACGGAATCAGTGGATCAGTGCCTGGCGCATGGCGCACCAACAACTCGCGATCCTTTCGACTCAGTATCGAAAATTGCGTTGCGCTGATACAGTAACAGCTGGTGTATCAACGCTCATAACGCATACAACTGCGTTAACGCAATAACGCAACGCAGCGCTGCGTTACCCATGTCTATCCCGCTGTAGTTTGCCAGTTACTACACAATCATCTGCGTAGACTTGAAATATGGTTTACACTATGGAGAGTTGAAATTAATAGTACTAAGTCGGCACATATTACATTCACATTAAAAAAAGAGAATTGTACTAAAAATAACAATGCACTGCCAATAAAATACAACGTCAGATACTTGTGGATTCATCTGGACAGCCCGCTAACATGGATTAAGCATATATGGAACAAAATATAGGGTGTCTCAGAAATATTTTCGGTTATTAATCCGTTCGCTGGCGCAATATGTACATTCCCGAGAAAGAAGGCAGTTGGTAAACGATGGTAGACAGTGTAAACTTTTAGTTGTAATGCAGCAATTTATTTTGCTGCAACGTGCTTTTTGTATTTGTGTGTTTTATAAAAACAATGATTCTTATATTCTTGTACGTCGTTTGTACAGAAATCATTATAACATAGCAAGAATGGAAGATATCCCAAGTACAAATTCAATTTCCAGTACTCTCAAACTTTCTTAACCAATATTTAATAAAATTTGCAGTTGGTACATCATTTATTCTTGCTGTTATAATGATTTCTGTACAAACGACGCACAAGAACATAAGAATGTTTTTTATAAAAGGCAAAAAGCACATTGTTGTCCCGTAAATCGCTCCATTGCTACTAAAACTTAACACTGTATACCACCATTTTCCAACTGCCTCCTTTCTCAGTAATGTGCCTATTACGCCAGCGAACGTATTAATAAATGAAAATATTTCTGAGACACCCGAGACTTATTTAAAGGAAAATGCATTGGTTCATGAATTTCAACTTACATCTCAGCTTGGTCAATACTGCTTATATACAAAAAATGTTTTCAAGTTGATTTGGACGTACGGAATCCAAATTTGGGGAACTGCCAGTAATTCAAACTTGCAAAGATACAGCGCTTTCAATCAGAAATCCTAAGCAATGCTCCTTGATGTCTCCAACAATAATGATAAATCGGTATCTTTAAGTACTCTTCTAAAAGACGAAATCACTTATCTGTGCTTCAAGTACTACGAATATAACAGACTTCAAGATCATCCAAACATGTTAGCCAAAAATCTCCTGATTCCTCTGCAAAACAAAAGATTTAAGAGACCTTAATAATATTAGAGCTCGTATAAGAGCATAAATATATTTCAAAAATATTAAAATTTTTCTGTTAACATACTATTGCTGTAGTTTTCTTAAGTATTCACCATTGGGTGTAATACTGACTTTGTCATTCTCTGAACAGTCTAATGTATTGCCAATGGTGTCTTTTTCTGTCTTGAATTTATAATTTGAAATACAGTGTTTTTCTTTATTTTTAGGTGAACTAAACGACCCTTGTCAAATGGTACAAGAATGCAGGCATTTTGCATACCTTTGCAGCAGCAATAGAACTTGTCAATGCATATCGCCATATTACAGACCAAACAAACATTGGGACAAATGTGTCGGGGGTAAGAAATTTTGCGTTTGAGAGAATTCTGATCGATTCTTTTAAATGATTATAATTTTTTGTTTTGGTTTTTATTTCAGTTATTGGTCAAAGATGTCAGTACGACGAACACTGTATAGAACGTGCATATTGTAAGGAACAGAAAATATGTGAATGCAAACTTGGTCTTGTACCCAGTGACGACAAAACAGAATGTTCAGGTAAATTTATTCCCTACCGTTTTTAAATGGTATTTGATTTCAACAATGACTGGTCAGCAGACTTATTTTCTGCTGCAAGTGATGGTACAGGGTGTAGCTATAAAAAACAAGACTATTGCAACAAAAAAAATTATTTTCAATTTATACATTTTTAGTTGTTATCACCTTCAATATACACCCCTCCTCTATCTCCATGTAAATTTTTCATTGTTCTAAACAGTGCTGAAAGTCTTTTTTGTGAGCTCCTTCGTATCTCTGTATCTGTAACGTGCGGAGGGTGGGTTACCCCCACGGCACTTAGGCCTCATTAGGCCCATTGTGCATCCTCCTAAGATGATAGGCACCTCCTAGCTCGTGAGACAACCTACAGATTTAATGTAGTTGACAACGTCGCCAAGAGGTGCTTCTCTTATATCGGCCGGTGTTAGCCGATACTCGCCGAACACAAATCTTCTGATAAATGAGAGCGTCGGGCAATCGTAAAGGATATACTCGATGGTCTCATCTTCTTGTTCGCACTCTTTGCAGAGTGCGGATTCTGACAGCCCCATGATATGGAGATGTTTCCGTACTTGGCAATGACCAGTCAGAATGCCTGTGACCAGACGCAGATTCCGTCTAGTCATAGTCAAGCATTTGTTTGCTGCAGTGTTGTCAGGATAACTTAAGAGCTCCCTGGCAACTCTGCAGTTTCTTGTTTCATCCCATATTTCCTTGAATTTCACAAGGGAATGTTCTATAATTAGGTCTGTCACTACCGATTTTGTCAGGCCAATAGACGGGCCAGGTCCAAAAAGTATTTGGTTGGCTAAGACGACGAAAATTGTAGTCGTTCATATTACCTTGCTGAATCGGTTTGGCCCAAATGAGTTTAAAGCTCATATTTCATCAAAGTAGGAATTGAATTGTTTTATTTCAGAAATTCGTTACAACACTTTAATATTTATTTCCCATTTAGGACTTGATAATGAGAAAGTAAGCAAAAACCATTTCAGCGTTCTTTTTTACTAATATGAAATAAAAAAACTATACTTAAATAGTTTTGTTTAATTTTGTTTAAAACGCCTGACCTTAGCATATTGTTATCTAACTGCATGACAGTTGTTGTCAGTGTTATAGTCGTTCGATTTTCCTTAACTCCATATCAGAAAAATGGTTCATTTAACAGAAATGCACAAAATAACAATCCTGCAGATGATTGGTTATGGAGATAACACACGGACACAAATGGAAGTTGCTCGCTTTTTTCATGAAAAATTTTCAAATTTTCCGCGTATATCCCAGGTTTCGCGAGCTTGGATATGTAATGCAAATAAAAAAACACAGTTGCCAATGCAATAACTAATGATACCAAATTGGATATTATGCTTGAGTTTCAAGAAAACCCACATACTTCTAGTCGACAAGCATCCCCAATGTTCGATATTAGCCATTCATCGATTATTCTAATATTGAAAGAAAATAAAATGCATTCCTATGAAATAATAAAAATTGAGTCTTTATTAGGAGGGAGTAAATCAATTTATGAAATACCATGTATATGTATGGGTCTATCTTTATTGGTAGTACGTCAAAACCATCTATAAAATTTTGAAAATATATTTTGGAAAACAACTTTTTTCTTTACCAATAAATCGTATATTGTGTGTTGTATACTTAATATACGAAGTTTGTCAAAAAAATATTAATTTTCTGCAACAGTAAAGTACTGACTTTTATTTTTGACAATATCGGCAATTGTTATAAAAAAGTTCGTTGATAGTTACTTTTTGACATACTAAAAGTCTAGAAAAACCTCAATGCTGAAAATGTTTTTTGGCTGTCATAAAATTAAAAATCATAAAAAATCGTTGTGTGTCAAATTACAAAAAAATTCATGGTGAAAAAGAATATGATGTTGGTTTTACCAAATAAAATAAAGATAAAATAAAAAAATGGTAGGTGGAAAAACTGAAAGCTTATGCTGTGTTGAAAATCATATTTTTTGACCAAAATGTGTAATACGTATTTCATCAATCGTATAAAAAAGAAAAGCTTCATCTATAGTCTATTTTTATGTATGAGAGAGTAATAAAACAGCATTTCTAATGCAAAACTTTAAATATTTTTACAGAATAATCTAAATATTTCCTCTGAGCTATTACAAGTTTTGGGTCTTTTATTGGTCCTTTATAAACATAAGCTGTACAGAACAATAGAAAAAGGTTTGGACAGGCCAAAAGCCCTGTGTATTAAAGATTACATAGCCATATCTTACCTATTTGCCAATTTTGTTTTATTTTAATTCCAAGAATTTCTTACAGTAATCGAATTATAAGTAGATAAATACCTTCCCAACAAATTTCACCGAAAATGCGATTATATGTTTTTCATTTAGTAAGGAGGTCCAAGTTGTGTATTCTTGACAGTTTACTAAATGTCGTTTAGTTGCAACTTGCAAGGTGCAGTGTGAATTCTAGTGTGATCATGGAAAATTTGGAAGGGCCGCGTAAACGACAAAAAATCGGTCCTTTAACAGTTAATGAAAAAACATTAATATTTAATTGTTTTAAATCATTTACAGACAAACATTTATGTAAAAGTGTTGATGACACAGTGGAATTAGTTAGTAGTACGCTTGGTGTTGGGAAATCTACGATTTACAGAGTTGTTAAAGAAGAGAAATGTGGCGAGTTTCAGCACGTAAAGCTCCAGGAAAACCAAAATTTCAATTAAAAAATCTTTTGAAAGAAAGACTTCGAAGGAAAGTGCATGCGTTCTTCTTTAGAAAAGAATTTCCGACAGTAGACAAAGTTCTTGCCACGGTTCGAGATGATAAGGATTACCCTGAAACGAGTCGAAGCACACTATGGAAACTTTTAAAAGAAATAGGTTTTCTATGGAAAAAGCATTCCAGAAAGTCTATTTTAATAGAAAGAAGCGATATTGTAGTATCGAGAAAAAATTACCTAAGGACTATAAAAGAAATGAGAAACCAAAGAAGAAATATATTTTATTTAGATGAAACATGTATCAACAAGGGACATAAACCAAATAAATTTTGGCAAGATGAAACTGTTACAAGTCGAAGACAGGCTTTTTTAAATAATTTATCTACTGGTTTAAATCCACCATCAGGAAAGGGGCGCAGACTAATAATAGTACCTACACATCGGTAGTTCAAACGGTTTTGTTAAAGGTGGTTTATTGACATTTGAATCTACTCGTACCGGTGACTACCATGAGGACATGAATGCTGATGTCTTTAAAGAGTGGTTCGAACAAATAAATTATAGATCTTCTTCCTCAGAACTGTATAATAGTAATGGATAATGCAAGTTATCACTCGAGACTTATAGAAAAAATGCCCACAACCAAGTGGTTAAAAAAAGATTTACAGAATTGGCTAAATTCAAAGAATATTAAGTTCCATCCCGGTTCTGTGAGAAAAGAACTGTATCATTTGTGTTCCCTTCATAAAGAGAAATTCAAAAAATATGAAATTGATGAAATTGCAAAAAATCGTGGGATGACGGTGGTTAGATCACCACCATATCATTGCGAAGTAAACCCGATTAAACTGATATGGGCACAGATAAAGGGAGAAGTTTCAAGAAAAAATAATTCTTTTAAAATGAGTGATGTTAAACAGTGGTTTTTGGAGGCTGTAGCCTGAAAACTGGAAAAAGGCAGTAAATCATACGATTAAAGAAGAAGAGAAAATGTGAAAGTTGGACAATATTACTGATGAAATGATCGAGCCACTCATTGTAAATATTGGTTGCGACAGTTCATCTTCTGATTTGGATTTGTAGGTAAGAAGTAGTTTTTATAATAAAACTATTATTTATGAACGTAACGTTGTTTAAAAGTCAAAGTTTAAACCCTTATATCTACATAACCCGTTTGACACAATGTTCTTAACATACCTTGTGGAAAAATAAAATATTTTAGAAAAAGTTGCGCTTTTTTACCTTCAGCTGTTTAGAAGTTATAAGCAGGTTAATTAGGTGAAAATATAAGTGTATACTCGAGGAATAACTTCAAAAAAAATATTTTAACTGTCTACTAAAAGAAGTGCTACGCCTATGGATTACGAACGCTTTATTATTTTAATACTCTCTCATACTTAAAAATAGACTATAATAGTATTCTTCAGTTTATTTAAAGTCACTTGTTTTTTAATGCACTATGTGTGCAATATCTACCAGAACAGTTACATTTGTGCAGGTGAAACGGATCATGTTCAGTAATAACTCTTGATGCATTTTACATGTTATGGGAAGCAGTGTGTCTTTTACTATTTTCCAACCCCAATCTTCGAGATTGGCGACAAAGACATTGTAAATGTACGCGAAGAAGACGATGAACAACAGCAAAATCGTGTTTTGGAAAGAAATTTCTAACATCTAGGCAACCAATATTACTACTTTCTTGTATTTTTGGTTGCGTATGCAACCTTTTCTTGACAAATAGAACATAATATTAATTATTTATTCTCAATGACTTGTAGTGTGTCTACATGGCTTATTAAAGTAATTTAGTTAATAAAAAAATGGATTATTTTCGCGTGTATTGTGTTTTAATAATTTATTAAATTAATACTAGGTTGTAAATTTAACCAAATTCTATTTTCATAAGTCAATCTGCCCTTCTTTGATATAAACTTTCACTAATAATATATTATTGATTTTAAAACCAATAAAAGGTTTATTTTTATTTGTTTTCTTTTCGCAACTGGTGACATAATTAAATTTTCGAAACCAGTTTCATCATGTTCAACATTATGAAACTGGTTGCATAAAGTAGATTATTTTGACACTTACTGCGATTACAAAAAATGTTACTTTATATATGTCAAAATGCATTTTGATTAATAAAAATATAATTTTTAACACTGCAAAAGCTTTTCGGCCACTATTTTGTTATTTATTTTTTAGTTTTTAAAACCAAAATATAACCTTTTTTATTATGTACCCAAAAAGCACTGGATATACGTCGCATATACTATGAATATGTTT